GCAGGCCCCCGCCGCCCACAGCCCCGCAACCGAACCACAGGGCTGCGTCTAGACGGGCATGATGTTCCGCAAACGCTTTTAACCGAAAAGTTTTCCGTTAAAAGCATTTTCGGAACAGAGCGTCTAGATTGGCAGGGTGCTTTTCCGCAAAAGCACTTTTTCCGGAAAAGCGTCTGTGCCAATCTAGATGCTCTTTTCCGCAAAAAAGCCCCGATTGCCATTTTCGCAATCGGGGCTTTTTAGTGGAAAACAAATCTGAGCTGTCTACACTGGCCCTTTGGCGCAAAAGGGACTTTTCCCCGAACGGGAGCAGCATAGTATTTCCGCAAGAAGCCCTGATTTCAGACAGTAGGAAGTCAGTGCTTTTGCGGAAATTCAAGCGGCCAGTGTAGACAGCTGGCAAGTTTCCGCAAAAGCAGCTGGTTTTCTGGAAAAACTGGCCAGTCTAGACACAGCCCAGCAGCGCCCCGGCCGGACACAGGACTCCGTGCCACAGGCAGAACGCCGGCACCTCTAGAGCAGTGAGGGGATTCGGGAGACAGCCCCAGCACATGCCCGACAGGGCCAGTGCCAGCAGGGCCGTGGCTCACCAGCGCCTCTGGGGAAGCCAGGCACCTCCCCAGCAGGATCTGGCTGCAGGCTGAGGAGTAGCTGGCCCACGAGGGCCCCGTAACGTGGGGTGCCCCCCATTCCTGACCGGCGCATTGCTCTGAACCAAGAGCCAAATGCCTTTCCTGCCAGTTCCTGGGGCCGGGGGAGGTGCAGCCCACGAGCCATGGGCTTCCCTGAGCCTGCCCACGGTGACTCCAGGCCCCAGCCTGCCCTGCCAGCCAAGAGTAAGATGTGACCAGCTAGTCACCTCCAGGCCCGCCCCACCGTGCCAACCCCCTCGCCCAGAGTGGAACCACGCCAAGCGGAGGGGCGACGGCCCAGGCTGCTCCCCGCCGGGCAGACCCCTGCGCGCCGCGTACCAGGAAGGGGGCGGGCGCGCTGTGTTCCGAGATGTCGAAGTAGGTGACGGGGGGCAGCAGGAGCCGCTGGCCCCGATCTCAGCGGTGAAGCCCTCGATCCGGCCCGAGGGGGCAAAGCGCCCCTTCAGGATGGACTCCTGGGAGAGAGACAAGGGGAGGGGCAGGCTCAAGGGCCAGCTCTCCTGTTGAGCCGCTGCCCGGCCTGCAGCGCCCGTCCCCACGGGTCTGAGCACCGCCCGGGCGCTCCGCACACGCCAGGCTTCCCCCTCCCGAGCTCCCTGGCAGCTGGACACGGGACGCCTGCACCCGC